TTCTTCTCTCGGAAAGCGTTCTTTCTCTCGTTCACGTCAACGTTATGATTGCGTTGTGCTTCGCGCAAGCTAAATTCTGTGCGCACGAGCTACTCTACGCGACACTGTGGTCCGCCCGTGCACTTCGTATCACACTTCTTTGACTCGCTCTTGATGGCTTCGGCCATTTCTTTGTGCGAGGGAAACATCGTGTACCGTGGCTGTGTCGTCGTGAATGACGCCGAATTTGTGCTCCACCTCGCTTTTATACTGAGACGAGTGTGTGCGTGAGTGTGTGTGCGAGTGTGTGTGCGTAAGCGGGTGAGGGTGTGTGTGAGGGTGCGTGTGTGTGCGTGTGTGCGTGTGTGTGTGTGTGGTTGCAAGTGTGTGTTTGTGTGTGCGGGGGGTGTGCGTGTGTGTGCGGGCGTGTGCGTGTGCGTGCGATAACAGTGAACGCGTCACTGTGATTTTTGCGTAATGTATTTTTTTTTCAGAGAACCACTCCGCGGGCTCAACAGTCCCTTCAGGAGACCCCCCGGCGGTCCTCGCACTTGGCGGTGCGGCGCCGCGTGGAGATGAGCACAGGTAAATTGTCGACCGATTCACCTCCGATTTCGCTAAAACATGCATTTCCTTTCATTGCTTTTTATTTTCTTTTTGTAATTCTTGGCATGCCAGACGACAAACGCCGCCGGCAGGCCAAGCTGGGCCCGCTCCCTGCCGAACCGAGTTGCCGGTGGAGCGAAGTGGAGCTGGCAACTTGGTTTAGCGGAAGAGCGGGCCTAGCTTGTTGTTCTCCAAAAAAGAGAATTATGGCTATATTAGACAAATGCCCGACAAACATTTTTATTGCACATCCACCATGACACTGAAAGAAAAACAAGAATTTGACTCGTGGTATCAACAGCAAGTAAATTATGGCTACGTATTTAATTTTCATTGTGAATTGATCTCATACTGTCAAAGTGACACCATTATACTTATGCGTAGTATGGAGTCCTTTCGAAAAACGTTTCTGGAAATGTGCGGGTTTGATCCGCTACAACACTGTCTCACACTGTCCTCGGCTTTTATGACACTGTACAGGTACAAACATTTGCAACCCTACACACTTGGCCTCGCACCTCGAGGGGATTTAGAATGGCTCAAAAACAAAGTCAATTAGCACTGAAATGGCTTAGATTTGTTCAAAGTACACTAGGGGATACTGCTAAAATTTCTACGACTGAAAATGGACACGAAGTCAAAGCTGGCCGTGAGAGTTCCATGGGGCCGGAGACACTCTGTGCGAGACTAGAACTAGGAGAAATTGCGCGCCTACTTAGCCCATATTAATCGTTGTCTTCAACAGATTTTGGCTGAGAGCGGGCGACTTTTATAGTTTATGATCTCCTGCTTTAACTTCACATTTTAAATATTTTTATGGATTTAACTTACTTTGTATCAAGCGCCACTCCATTGTTCTCATTTATTTAAACCAAAGATGTTCTAATCAGCTCTCTCTTGCAGTTAATAGTTTTTGTGTTGTTTTTGCTTGTAGAGATTGAGTAGTTCTCATATGTTTTACTCGATATTCAATTTAGAAATGTAGCGTGTTCCACTCTCTTGTTTGAAGAACCTTTATATTCCTTCTATTTTGTTTGCACCATTGTACTAGTGCTATTTTTTTACCAAGTATTTTCAGTAGAGCTT